AATTACTCCCATTAAGCAGAGCAGAAACAGTGGAGAATTTTATTAGAGGATCCTAGGAGGGAGAATCAAGATCTGAAGATTAGTGCAGTCAAAAAATGCCTTCATCCCTAGCACCTGTGAAGGCAGAATTTAAAGTTTCCCGTGGTGTATGAGGGCTTCTGGAAATTTCTGTCTACGCATGCTCTGTTTCCACCAGGAGATGGTGCAAGACGTCATACTCCACACGCTGGCACAGGTCTCTGAGGCAATCTCTCCAGAACAGCGCCAAGATGTCATTCAGAGAGAAGGTTTGACTAGGAGCTTCTCTGAGCTCAAGTCCCCCAGTTACAGAACGGTATCACTCTCGCCTCTGTCTCTAGTTTAGCTGTCTCTACTTTTGGTTCCCTTCGTGGTTTAAAAATGCGATTCATATGCTTTAAAAATATATTAAATTGATGGTATCATCGAAGGACATAGTTCTCAGACTTTTGCTTCCTTAAAATTCTGAAATTGGAATATATTGAAAAGGGATGCTTCATTAAATATGTTTCATATCATAGGGAGCAATGTTGCATTCTTACACACCGTTTTATAATTTGTAATTGCTTTGTTCTACATGACTGTTAAAGGTTGCAAAGCTCAGCCCTGTCTATATTATTTGACTTCGTATGAGGAAGTAGTGAAATAACTCAGTATTTCTTTGGATCGGGCCCATTAATTCAATACTTTCTAAAAGAACTATTGTGTAATTTTCCATCGGAATTTAATGCGACAAAGTATAGAGTTTGAAAACTCTAAAGGATCAAAATTTGAGTTCTGACTCAGTCATTTCCTTGTTGTGTAACCCTTGGCAGTGTTCCTATTTTTCAGATCCTTAGTATTCTTGTTCTACATTTTCTGTTATGAGAATGACGCGAGATAATGTTAATTTGGAGATGGTCTAAAAATAGTGGTCATTATTATTCTTTTCATGGTTATGATTATCATTAGCTGCATTAAGTTTGAATGATTTTCTTATCATTAATTTACTGTTCTTTAGAAGCCAGAATAGTGAGACTTTTGAGCAAGGGCAGTAAGACTTTTGTCTTGCTTACTTTGAAAAGAACAATTACTAGAAAAGGAGTTCATGTTTGGTAAACTTGAGGCTCAGTAACAATAAGAGAAGCCCTCATGAGGGATGTCTTAGTTAGCAAAATAGCTGAAACACTGGGCCCAAACAGACCAAGAATCATGAAAGTAGCACAGGACTGGGCCCGGTTTCATTCTTTCATATAAACTTGCCACAGTTGGAGCCCACTGGATGGAAACTAACAGTAACAATTTACTTAGCATTCTGAGAAATGTTTTCCTGCTATTTTAGGAATAGGAGATGAAAAGTCATTCTGGGGGGATAGAATGAAATATTGGGACTCTCTCTGATTTGTGTCACTATAATTTTAAGTGAGATTCTTGTTCACTTGTATTCATTGAAATGTGATAAGAGTAAATCAAGAGAATATATTTGGCAAGTAAGAGGAACTTACTTGCTGTACATAATTTGAAGAACACTGTTTTCCCCTCACATACTTTATAATATTGTTGCATTCAAATCCTGCTTGTGTTTAACCCCATAAGATACTATTATTGTTATGTGTAGATACTGTTTATTCAGACTTACCCATGTGTTTACACTTCTTTGTTCATCATTCCTTTCTTCAGTTTCTTGAATCATCTGGCATTGTTTCTATTCTTTCTTTAAAAAAAAATTCCCTTTAGAATTTCTTTTAATGCACTCCTCCTGGCAATGAATTTTCTTGACTTTTGTTTGCCTGGAAAGCTTTTATTTTACCATCAGTTTTTGAAGGATATTTCTGTTGGTTTTATAATGTTAATGTGGGCAGTTATGTGTGGTTGGAAAAATATATGAAGGAAGACTTTTACTAATGTTATAGTGTGTCTCATTTTACATTTCTCTAGATTGCTTAAATAGGACTTTTTGGAAAAATAAACTATCAATCTGTATTGTAGTTTATTAGCATAATCAGAAACATCCTAGACAAACTTCCACCATTAGAATTTATAAGTAAATTATTAGCATAAACAGACTTCCAACACAGGGAATCCAGCACAGATGATCCCTTCAGGACCAGTGCTGAGAGTGGCAATACCAGGAGGGTGGAGGGTGGAGGGTGGGTGGGGTGGA